CCTTCCCCAGCTCCACCTGTATAGATCTGCTACAAGGTGATTCATGTATGCTATATGGGGGTTATTCATATGTGTTATATGTGCAGCAGCAGTATTTCTTACATGCTTACAGCAGCATGTTGTGGATGTATTGGCAGTAGCAAGTCTCTATACTTGCTCTGCCGCAGCAGCAGCAGCGTAGCTGATCTATTCCGCCAAGACCAAATACATTAACATTGTATTGTGCCCTCTGGGCTTTTAGACAAATCCAGTGACACACCCAACAGTGACTCACCACAACACAAAGAGAACATAAACTGGATCAGTTAGTTGCAAAAACACAATGAATGCGAAGAGTTCAGTTTACATGCAATGCAAAGGCTTAGCGATTAAACTGGGCCAGAATCTTTGATCTAAGTAAAGGATACAATTGTTGTCAGTTTGCTGTCCATCCATTCAATCTATTCCCTGTATAATCCAGTGCAGATATTGTTTGAATAAGTATACACATTACGTTACCTCACAAGAGTGTACATGCTTTATGAATTAAAATTCATTACATTAAGCATTTATGCTACATACATGCTTGTCTTTGCTTATTGTTTGATTTCAAACTAATTTTTATGAATAAATGAACACATGCATTGAACAAAAATACAATATTAAGCTAAATACAGAGTTCTGGCATGAAACTCTAGATGGCGCAGTCCGATAGGTCTAGCTCAGTGATGGGCAAACTTGGCCCTTCCAGGCCACTTTGCCCAACCCTGGTCTAGCTCAATCTGACCTGGCGACATCATTGTCACATGGCAGCTGATTGGTTCTCTCCTGTATTGGTAGGCAATGAGCTTACTGCTTAATATTCAAATACCTGGCTTTTGTTTGCTGTAGCAGTTTTGCAGTGCACTTCAGAAACCCTCCACCTTCCCCAGCTCCACCTGTATAGATCTGCTACAAGGTGATTCATGTATGCTATATGGGGGTTATTCATATGTGTTATATGTGCAGCAGCAGTATTTCTTACATGCTTACAGCAGCATGTTGTGGATGTATTGGCAGTAGCAAGTCTCTATACTTGCTCTGCCGCAGCAGCAGCAGCGTAGCTGATCTATTCCGCCAAGACCAAATACATTAACATTATCATGTACATGACCATGCCAATCCCTCCGAGAGTTGTCATGACATAACTTCAGCCGAAGCAAAGTTAAGAAGCTAAAGTTTGCAATTTCATATCTTGCCCAGTGCCCACCCCATCTTAGTCCCCTCTTCCACCTCCAAATCCTGATTTTGTATTAATAATTTATTGCATATATTGTGAATGTGCATATATTTTGTCATGCAAAAGGTGTTTTAGGAGAAGGCCTATGTATTTATTTACTTACTTATTCAATCCGTCATCTCAGAATATTCTCTTTGATGTCCTGTCTGGTGGGGAGACTGAAGAGACCCCTACTGTAGTCAGCCCTCCATCTGAGCAAGAGAGTGAGCTCACAGAACCAGAGACTACTGATGATTCTGCCACAGCCACTGGAGAAGCTGTATGTAGAAAAATATGCTGATTTACCTGCTTATGGGGAAAATAGCTGATTTTGTTGTTGTAGTTCTTTTAATACTTATCACATCTTTCCAAGATACTTTAGTATCTGAGCTTTTTTCAAAAAGTTAAAATTTGTTAATTTAAAAAAATTAATAAAAAAAAAACTAAAAAAACAAAGTGAACATTGGGGTATTTGAAATCAAATTAACTTTAACTGAAACAAAAGATAAAAATACTAACAATTATTTTATTTCAGCTTGTTGGCAAGGCAACATTTGACATTTTCATTTAGCTTGTTTAACTTGATTTACTAAAATAAACTGAAATAAAATTGAATAAAAACTAGAAATATATATAAAAAAAACAATAAAATGACAAAAACACAAAATTACAAATATTTTTACTAAAATATAATTAGAAAATGTGAAAATAAAACTATTTCAAAATATGAATAAAAACTGAAATAGTATTTAAAAAAATGTTTATACTAAAATAACACTGCTTCACAAAATGAAGTTTGAGATGGGTCTGTTTTTGTAAATACCGCCATCTAATGGTGGCTCATTAACACAGTTTTTAGACTTCAATTTGCAGTCATGAATCCACTAGTATACCCCCCCCCCCTCCCCCAGAACTACATATCATTATGATTTTGATAGCAATATTGTTATTAAAGATAGATTTTTTCATATGATTCCTTAAATTGCAGGCTGCTGCTGAGACAGAGGTGGATGACCTGGAGCATCGACGCATGTGGGAGGAAGGTCGTGCTGATTATATGGGTAAAGACGCCTTTAACAACATCATGAGGAAACTTGACCTGTTCCTTGATTAATTGTGTGTGTATGTGATGCATGTGTGTTTATGAGATTATATAAAACACTATCTCTATATAGTTTTGTTTGTACAGTATATCCGTCATCATCACAACTGTTACATTTCCCCCTCCTCAAATATAGCTGTTTTTTCCTCCTCTGTTGTGTATTTGCAGCAATCACTGGATCATATCAAAAATACTCTGAAAAATGTCTCGTATATAAATGTAAACATCTAGATGTAAAAAGCTAGTAATTCAGTTTGTGTATTATGAACCTACACGTGATCAGATCTATCTGTATGATTTAGCCTTTGCTGTGATCTTTTGTTTGCAGTTTTCTTAAAGAATTGACTGTAAATATGCTCTATAGCTGTTAAGGGAGACATTTTGACTTACTCTTTCAAATCAGTTATTTAAGTATTAATCAATGATTATTAAATCATGAGAAAAGAACTGAAAGAATGATTTAGTATTTATTGTCAATGTCCAGCAAAAATAATGTAACAAATCCTTCAACCAAGAGGAAACGCGCCTAACAAACAATGGTCTTCAACATGTCTTTCTTTGCAGTGCCCAACAGCAAAATTGCCATTTTTTGCCACTAGAGGTCAGTCTATAAACACTCTAGCTTTAACACCTCCACAAACTCCACTGGCAAAGCATAACAGTCTTGAGTTGGAAAATGTTTCAAAAGACGATGAAATACAATCATAAAGGTATTGTACCGCCGAGTTTTATAAAACATATTTGTCTCTCTCCAGAGATGCTTAACACAACCTTGTCTCCAAATGTTATCTGCCAGACATTTATAGTAAGCAAACGTAGAGGCCAGACAAAGTCTAAGCCAGTTCTATGATGGAACCTTGTTTTTAAACCCTTGTTCCACGTTTTAATATTAGCTCCATTTATTACCCTCTGGCTCTGCCTTGTTAACACGATAGCTCTTTGAAGTCATGAACTATTTATGCTTATGTTACTCAGTCAATTAGAGAGCATCTTTAATTTGATTTGGTTCAATAAATCATAATGAGGTCCTCCCTTCTGAAAGATCTCTCTCTCTCTCTCTCTCTCTCTTCATGTGTTCTAAACTGAGCACAAGAGAGATCTAAGTGAACTCTAAATGTGTATTTTAACCGTACTTTTGTGTCCATCAACATATGGCACTGGACAAAAACGCTTTCACTATTTTTAAGTTTAGCAATCTGAAAGATTGCCTGTGCTGTGTCTCACGGTCGGGTACATACACATGTACCACGAAGCGAAGTAAACAGTGCTAGCATAACATGTTTCAGACTCATGAATGAATCCAATAAGGATTATTTGACCTCTTCCACGTTCTGTGGTTTTGTTGTTGGGATCAACAGTTTTTCCTGCTTTCCACACAGTTTTGTGTTACTTCAATATGAATAATTCTGCTGTAGTTGTGACTAAGTGTGAATTTGATGAAAGCTATGCATGGTAACAAACATAGGTGTACCACATAGTGAGACAGAAGTAAAGACATTTTCAGTTACAAATGTTTTCCCACATTTTTAGAGAATATATAGAGGACATATAGTTACTAGCTTCTCAAAATATGTATGTTGTTGAAAAAAAAAACATAAATCAGATGAGGGCTCATGTGATTTCTGTGCGTTCATCATATTTGAGAAAACTTTAGTTACATGATAGTTTCCAAAAGTTCTATTTTAATGAACTGCTCTTATTTACTGGTTAGAGAATGTTTATATAGTCATTAGCAGAGGCTAGAGAGTGATCATATTAAAAAAATACCATAATGTTGCTTCATATTGTTAGGCACAAATGTTGTATTTGAAGAATATACATATGGATATTTATATTTAATAGCAGATTGCAAAAGCCTTTGATGGCCTTTGTTTATGCAGACTGTTAAAATCATCATATTTGTATGGGACGTCCACCCAAAGGCAGGATAATGGACCAAGATGGTGCTTGTTGTAAACATACAATCTAAAAAGGAATCACCCCCTTGAATCTCTGTTATTTTATTTCTCTGTAACACATTCTCATGACAGTGCAATAACTCCCCCAGAGGACATTCTCTTTTCATCACTCTCCTGACAAAACCTTTGCCTCTGATTTCTAACCCATTTCCCTAAAGCGCAGAAGGGCATTGTTCCATGTAGCATCTGTGTTATCTGTATCAGAATGGCTGACATCAACCTTTTTATTTTATTTTAACATCTTTATTAAAAATATGCAAATAGAAATACATTAGTTTTCAAAAAACAAATAATTTATAACTGTTACAACTGAAAGGTATGAAAATGTTAGGCGAGGTGGACAGAGTCAGTGTTTGTCAAGCAGTGCAGATGTAAACTTTGCCCATTCATGATACTAACAGGTGAGTTATACCTGTTATTGATTTCTGGCTTGTGTCCTGGCATTAATGTAACAGTTCTTTCAACCATTCCAGCAGCATTGCGTCCCAAACAACGATATGTGCCTGCCTCTGAGAGAGCAGGATTACTAATGACCAAAGTTCCATCGGACTTGTGGAGGAATTTACTGAATTGTGCACCACCCTGTAGTGGAGAGCCATTTAGAAGGATCCAAGTCAGCTGTGGGGTTGGTGACCCATCAATTGAACAGTTAAGATTAATGGTCCTGCCTACAGTCAGTAAGAGTGACTCCATTTTAGGACTCTTAAGTTTTGGCTTCTCTAAAATATCTGATGGATAGTGTACCGTTGGCAGACACTTCAATCCTTTGATCATAACTGAAATATACAAAAGACATTATTATTATATATTTTTAATATGTGTAATTTGAGCACTGTAATGAAAAATTTTACTAAGAAGATTTTTGCTTTTTATGTAGATTAAAAATGATGCTTGAGATTTCATAACAAGATGTGCCCTTCTTTTAGAAGAGCAGTTAGAGTGTTTGATTTGCATGCAAAGAGGAACATGTCTCATCAGTCAAAACAAGATGCAAAGTTATGAAAACCGTGTCTAAGTGCATACTTTAAGGAGCAAGAGAAATGCTGAGAGAAAACGAAAGGAAGACAGTGGCTATGTGTATATTTGTCTAATGTGTACAAACCGAGAATGCACTATCCTGCAAAGGAGATGTGCTTCAGTGAAGTGTTTAGATTACCTGTAGTGAGCATCCACAAGTTTTTTCGATGGAGTCCTCCAGATTATCCTGGGTTCTGGATTCCCTGATGCAATACAGTCCAGGTGCAACCTGCTTCCATAGACCACATCTGTTTTTTGAGGCGAAGAGAATGTAATCTTGGCTCTTGAGTATATTATGGACTTTCTTACAGTCAAAATAATGGTCCTCCGTGCAGTGCCAACCACATTGGTTACTGAGCATTCATACCTCCCTGCATCTGTTGGAAAGAGACTACGAACATAGAGTGTCCCATTTGGGAATACAAACAAGTTACGTCCATTGATGAACTGTGATGGACGGAGCTGCATTCCATCAGGGGTAATCCAGCCAATGGAAGGTGGAGGGGCACCCCTGGCAGTGCAATTCAAGTAGGCAGCGCTTCCCTCTGGAAGAGTGACATTCTCATGTCTTGATTGCTGAATGATGGGTGGCAAGGCTGCAATAGTCAGCCGAACAGATATTGTATCAGCACCCGCTGCATTGCTTGCAATGCATTTGTAAATTCCTCGATCCATGTGACTAACCGATTTCATGTGAAGCGTGCCATTAGGTAAGACTGAGACATTGTTTTCAGGATTGGCATGAGTAGGTCCACTAGAATGTACCATTTCCCTGTCTGGTAGGATCCAGGTGATCCGAGGCTGAGGAAGCCCTTGGGACTGACACTCAAACTGAACAGTTTCTCCAAGGTATGCTGTGACTTCACTATAGCGAGTCTGCAGCACTCTGGGGTGTTCAGCCAGAACAATTAAATTAACCACAATTTTATCCTCTCCATACTGGTTTTGGGAACTGCAGAGGTACTGGCCCTGGTCCAGAGGAAGTACATTGTGGATTATGAGTGTACCATTAGAGGAGACCTCAAATCTTTGAACCCTGGTATTCTGTGTTACACTTGCCCCTGCAAGAAAACAGTGACAGAGTTAGTTCAGAATCAACAGAATATATTTCTACATGCATGTGTCAACAAAGGATTGAAAACGTTATTGTAATATTGTTAGATAATGATAAACCATATATTTCCTACCTGTGGATACTTTAGTCCATGAAAGGAAGGGACTGGGTTTCCCCACAGTCACACAAGGCAAATAAGCATCAGTCTCAGCATGTGCTGTTACTGATCTAATGTCTGTGCTGATGATCCAAGGTTTGCCACTACCCTCGGGCATTGCTGTTGGTCTTTGTTGAGGTCCTCCTGATGTGGCATAATGTATCAAAGAGCTTCCTCTACCCTGAACACCTGGCCTACCAGGAAGTTTTTTCTTGGGTGAAGATACTGTTGAAGTTGAGTGAAGTGGTTGAGTCGTGGCTGTTTTTGTAGTGGTCTTTTTGTGTATGTCTACTTCTAATTCTTGAGATACTGTTTCCTCAGAAACACTGGCTAATTGATAAGGAAATTGTGTGACTGGAGGTCCTGCCCTGCTATTTGTTCTGCTAAGTTCTATCTTACTAATAATTTCTTTGCCTGGGGTTACAAATATCTCTTTGTCACTGTCAGGAATGTGATTAGCATCGTCTAGTTCACCTAGCATGCTTACAGATGTGGGTGTATTTGGGTAAAACATATGGGTATGTACTGTAGAAGATTTCAGAGCTGTTGTAGTTGTTGTTGTGGCAATAATGTTTTCTTTTGTAACTGGAGGTAGATCAGCATTTTCTGATGGAGCCCAAGGATTCATGGATAAAGAAGAATCTTCTCTGTCGTGAATGCTGCCAGTTGAAAGCCTGCTTGGGTTGGTTGTTGCAAGCACTAATACTTGAAAGATTTTGGGGCTGCCAGTTGGAACCCGGGAACTCTGTTGTGCCCCCTCAAAAATTGTAGTGGCTGCTGTTGCTGAACCATGTTGGATTTCCAAATTATTTTTAAGAATTTCATTCTGGATGTTTGGGGAAGATGAAGTGAATGGCCTCACAGAAAACCTTCCTTCAAGCTCTTTGTATGACAGAATGTTTTCAGTCTGTGTGGGGTTATATTGGTTGTTTGTTTTATCTGGACTTGCACCTGGAAGTTCCTCTAATTGTGCATGAGAGCTGTCTGATGTTGGAATCGAGCTGGGGTCTCTTGTCATTTTTCCCTGTTGAGTCTCTTCAAACTTTTTAGCTGCAGGGGTATGAATGCTTGTAAACCACTCATGGATGTCTGCCTTCACAGGAGGATTTGTAATATGGGGGGACAAGTTGGATTTGTTTTCTTTCTGTATAGTTGCCTTTTCTTGTTCTCTACCAAAATTACTGAATATTGATGGAGACACTGGTACTATTGCAGTGTTTTTAAGTTCTTGAGCTGGCTTAGAATCAAATGAGTGTCTATCCTTTGTCATAGATACATTTTCTTGGGATGTGGATGTATGGATTTTGTTATTCCTGCCACTGTATAATGGAGTCATTTTGCCTAGTGACGGTGGTTGACTGTCAGTTAATGGAACAGTAATATTCATTTTGGCTCCTGCACTTTTGGCCCATGAAGATGTTTCTATTTTAGTTTGAGAGGAGGCAGTTGTCTTAGTAATGACTGAAAACCAATTTGTAACCTCCACAATTGAAGCTGAATTGGGCTGTGGGGTGACATATACTGATGATTTAGAACTGTTTGTCTTACTTCTAATTCGATTAGTCTTTCTTCCTCTTCCACCATTCCTCCTCCTCAAACTGGATGAGTTCCTAGCACGTGAGGAAGAAGCATTAAATGAATTAGTGAAGGTTGCTTTATGTCCTGAAGTGGGTTTGGTGGTTGATGTCACAGTGAGAAGCAGTGGAATTTTTGAGACATTATGTTTCTTCTGAGTTATGTGCTTTTGTAGGGTCTGTGGTCCTTGCTTAATTGTAGTAAGAATTTCAGTAAAAGAGTACACAGCAGTTTCTGTACTTGGTTCTGTGAAGGTTTTTGCTGTGGTCGATGCTAAGCTGTGATCCATCCTTCCCTGATAAACCTCTCCCACAAGCTCAGGGTTTTGCAAAACCCTGCGTTCTTCATCTTCTTTGCCATCAGACTTTTGAATTGCTTCAGTTACCCTGCCACCATCCATTGTGTGGCTTTGGTTTTCCTGTAAATGGGTTCCATATGATGCTGTGCTCCACACAGTGCTCACTGCAACTCCTTCTGCAACCTCTGAATCTCCCAAAGTAAAATGGGTCATCTGTGGTCCAACTGTGGGATGTGTGATATATGTGCTAACTGTAAACAAATCTGAATTTGGATCTGTTTCAGGAGCAGCTATCTGGTAGACAACATGTCTCGAATCCTCAGAATCCAGAGCTCTTATATCCAAGTTGTACTCTGTAGCCTCAGTGGGCATCTGTGACATTGTGACTGAGTACAACACATCCTTTACTGGTGCCCTGGTGCCCTCTATTGTTGTATCTTCTGCAGATGATCCTTCAATCTTGTTAGCAACTTCTGACTGCTTTGTGTAGGCAGTCTCTGACTCCTGTATTTTGTTTGAACTGGTCTGAACATAGTTTGGAGTAGTTGTTTTTAAACTAGTTCCACCACTGCGAACTTTCGCCAAAATGCTAGCCCAGCGCTTTGGGTCTATTTGGTTGTTTGACACACTAATGTTTCTTCTTGACTCTACAGTGTTAACCCTATCCACTACTCTCCTCCTTGGTGTGGCAGGGCGTCTCCAAGAGTTCCTAAATGGATGGACTCTCCTTATTCCCACACTTGGGACGTGCCGCCGATTGGGTAAATCCACTTGCCTAGTAAGCACTTTCTCTAAAAACTCTTCAGGTTCATTATCCCCAGAAGACTCCATGTCGTTTGTCACAAGGACTTGGGTTGAAACTCCCTCAGCAGGTTGAGGGCTACTAGAGTACTTCCGTAATGGGAGTAAACCTGTTGGCCTTGATATTATTACTTTTCTGGCCAAAGTATCCATCCCATGCTGATTTCCTGCTACACACTTATAGTATCCATTGTCTGAAAGCTGACTGTGTCGAATAATCAGAGATCCATTTGAAGCCACAAATATCCTGGAAATGTTTACCCACTTGTTTATAATACTACCATCAGGGAGAATCCAGTGTATTTCAGCATCAGGGGATCCGGTGGCAACACATGGAAGGAAAAAAGGTCCACCTGTGAATCCTGTAACTGGCTCTGTTACTCCTTCACCTCCAGGAGGTGGACTGGAGGATTCCTCCACTGTTAGGCGAAAAGGGAGGATAGTAAGGTCATCTGAAACCTGTGCAATACAGTAGTACACTCCTGAATCAGAATGGTCCACAGATTTGATTTTAAGAAGACCAGCATTTGATGCTGAAAGCCTATTATCACCATTGCTATATGGTGTTTTTAAAGTAGAGCCATCTGGTAGCATCCATTTAACTGATTCGTTCCCTGAGCTTTGTATGGAACAGTCTATCTCAGCAGGACTTCCCACGACAGCAGCCTGCATCGTTCTAGTGTTGTTCTTGGACTCAATTACAACCCAGCCCCTACTCTGCTCTCTTATAGATTCCTTTTCCATAACCTCAGTCATATGGGTGCTTAGAATTAGTCGAACAGTTTTACTTGTAGACTGAAGTCTGTTTAGCTGAAGGTCCATTGATGACTGCATTATCCAGGGTGGGTCAGCTGCTATGTTAGCTTTTACTCCTGTATAGTAAAGAGCATCCCTTTCAACATCTTGCCGATATCTGAAGCTTGTGTAAGGTTCCTTACTCAACATAATTTCTCTTCGAAGGTGGGCTGGAACATCACTGTAATATGCAATCAATCTCCACAACCTCTCATAACTGGACCTGTCAGTTGCACACTTTAAATCTAACGTCAGAGTCACATTTGCTGATATTTGATACTGGTTAACATAGTCCCAGCCTATGCTAGTCAGCTCTCTTGGCTCAGTGACAAGGCATTCCAAGTCTACTTGATGTCCATGTTCATCTGACAGGCCCAGGGAAATGTTGCCAAGGGGTTGACGAAATTCATCAATCGTCAAGAGGTCACTTTCTGTGTCCTCTGGGGAAATGTCTCTGTGAGCCGTGCTGATGATGGGACTATTGCAAGTGGGCTTCTCCAACTCCTGGAGCTGTTTCCTCTTTAGATGTTTTGAAGAAAAACACATAGGGCATAGCTGGCCATCTGGATAGGCTTTGTCCTTTTTACATTTCAGCACTCCTGGAAAAGAAAGGGAGGTGGTCGAAGTACAGTAAGTGGAAATTTATCAAGATCAAATAAAGTGATAAGCATTAGAAACAATTCTGCAACTATTTTTACTATTATGAGTTCAGTATAATCACAAATATCCCATGCAGATGATAATAACAGTTTATGATTTCTACTACTTTTCCCTCTGAACTGATACAACATCCTATTGTTTGTTAACGACAACATGATCATCGATATTTATGATAATTACCTGGCGAATTTTTATTCCAGACTTTGAACCACCTCATGCGACAGTCACAGGTCCAAGGGTTCCCATGCAGGGAGAGATTATCCAGGTAGGGCATGCCTGCTAGCATCCTCTGTGACAAAGTGGTCAGTAAATTATCAGACAGGTACAGGTGTTTCAGGGTGGAAACTGGGAAGTGTCCAAGAATAGAGAAAGTGGAGAAGGTGGCTGGGTGGAGCTGCTGAAGTTGATTGCCCTCCAGTTGGAGAAGGCGAAGAGACGTGAGGCCTTGGAATGCATTGGGGTGGATGAACTCAAGTCTGTTGTGATCCAGGTGCAACCTAGTGAGACTCCAGAGACCCACAAAGGTCTGTCTGCTAATTACCTTCAGTTTATTATAGCTTAGTTTCAGCATCTGCAAAGAAAGAGGCATTTTTACTCGGTGTCATTTCATTGCAATAGTTGTTCCATAAATATATTGTGTCATTGTGAACAGTAGTACAACAAAAAAAGTACAGAAATAATACATTTCCAAAGGAAAAAGTTGACAGTACCTGAAGGGATATGAGGTCACGGAATGTTCCATCAGGAATTTGATGCACATCATTGCCATGCATTAAAAGAAGCTCCAGTTTTCGTAACCCAGCGAAAGAGCTGTAAGTTATTCTATGTATAGTATTAAACCTGAATGAAGGAGGGACATAAGAAGGGGTGAATAAGATTAAGGTTAATTATGCAATGATGTTGCAGATTTACTTTCAAAGAGAGAATATAAATCAGGATTATCCCAGAAACCCCAGATTACACTGTGTAACATATTTTCAACATGTCTGGCTCAGATCGCAAACAGATGCTAAGCACATAGAATGCTCTACTGTAAGTGCACTATTATATAACAATTACCTGTAGCACCAGTAATGACTAAAACACAAGCCTGCTCACATAATTAACTCAACAGCTGTACAACACATTCAAAGAATTCCTTTCAAAACAACCACAACCTAAAAACAATGGACACTTCTTTCCAGTGTTCTTCACCAGTGAAATCGGTAAGAGGCGTGAGATGTTCCTTGGACATCAGATTGGACATAAACTTACCAATGAATCACTAAATGGTGTAAGAGACCTATATTATCATTTAACATCTGCTGTAGAGCAGTCTATCCACCAAAGGGTGATAAACTGAGATTTATTCAGCTGTGCTTCCAGAACAGTTGTTTTAAACTTTATGATTGAAATATTTCTGAAACTTGTTAAACATACTTGGGGTGCGCCGGATATGATCTACTAATACATCATTGCTCTTACAGCAACTGTTTACAGAAGAAAAGGTTTGAACCTGCAGCACTCGGAGTGCTTACTTGTAAAGATTGATATGACACAATGCAAAATGTTGAACAGGAAAGGATAAAGTATTCTCACTTAGTAACTGAGAGCATTTGGGGTTTTAACAGATGCACCTCTAAAGAAATCCACATGGACTCCTTTGGAGGAATTTAGTGAAAGGGCTAGAATGTGGAAAAAAGATTTTGACCCCCCCAGAAGATGAGACTCTGGCAGGATCCAGGAAGGGGCTCCTATGGGAGAGTAATTAAATTATACAGTTTGAGATGTGAGATTCATACATTGCTCATTAGTGTAGAAGATCATCTGTATGATAAGATCTGGAAGCATACATTCAATTAGTTTTATCTCCTCCTGTGGCAGACATTAATGAGGCTGCCATATCACTACACCGACAGCCAGTGTTAAATCAAAGTTGTATAAAGTACTGGCCTTTTGCTTCTGGAATGAGATAAACTTGATGTCTGTTTCATAAGTGAGAAAGCAAGACATGTCTATCTGAATGTCCATTCAACAGCAGCGCAGAATATTCACAAGAAAAAGACTCCAAAAGACAAGAGTCTGATGATCAGATATTGGAATAACCTTATTGTAATTTAATATAATTTACAATTATTTGCGCATTTATAAATGCGGAAGAGTTTTTTTTTTTTTGCGTAACAAAGCTAGCTTGTAATCATCTATCCGTAGGCAAATATTTAAAGGATATGTTGCACATCACTTTTGTATTTTGTAGAAAGTGCACAACAGAAAGGTTGATTGTTGTCTGATCCGCATGCTATCAAACTCTTAAAAGGCCTGTTCACAAATTGAAAATGCAATTTCATTCTTTGACTATAGGTGGCACTTATTGAAAAGCAGACATACCCATAACCAGGGTACACAAAGTGCAGAACAACTTTACATTTGTAAAACGGAAATAAGGAAGTCGAACAGTATTAACAGCTTTAAAATGAATTTTTTTTTTTACATTTGCTGTAATGTTTATCAAACAATCAAATACAAGAATACATAAACAAAAGAGTTGGTTCCAGATTCCTTATCTGCTATTCACTGTGGCATAGCAAAATAATAGTTTTATGTGACGGCCAAAACAACAACTCACCGTTAAAAATTGTGATGCATTTATGGTATGCAAATATTCATGACGGTCAGAACAGACACGTTAAAGCCGTTCATTTATATTAAACCGTTTATTGAACTGAATTGTTGCACCCAGTATTCTGTTTGGTGTCAATAGACCTTGTACTTGGTGATTTATTTTCCAATTGCATTCATGGAACAAACCAGCCTTCTCAAAAAAATATTTTTTCCCCCTAGTTTTAATTTCTAACCTCTGTTTTCATGCTTCTTCTATAGGATATCTTGATGTTTGAAGCTACAACAGCAAAGCCTTTGATAAGATGTCTTTGGTCACAATTCAAAGGGGAAAAGATGGTGAACTAATGTCAGTTTACCTGCATGGCAGTAATAACAGGGTGATGACAGGAGTCGACCTTTATGGGAGACCATGTTTACATCATAACTCAATGTCAAAGGATTAGAGAGCTCATGGAATTCATGGAAATGATCAGCTCTTCTCGATTTCATTTTTTTCCCCTCAACACAGCACAGCAGTTATTTAGTATAGTAAAACCGAAGTCTTAATTACACAATCCTTATAGTATTTGTATCAAATGTGAAACCCGTCGTCATATACACATATATTTATTAAGAAATGAAATCAACCTGTTATCATTGACCTGGAAATGTCTAAACTGATTTGAAAGGAAATTGCATTCAATAACAAGATGGGCTGATAGGAAGGCCTCAGGCAGTGCTTAAACTTGCAGTGTGCTGTTGGTATGATAAATCTTTGGACTGTCTTTCAGCCATGAGCTTTAGTTTTATGTTTCCTCTCTCAAAGCTAAGACATCTCCTGGAAACTATGCCAGGATATACTTTACTTCTGCCAGGGCATGACTCACTTGTCTACTGGTGCCTATTGAGTATGTCAGTGTGTCAAGGACTGAGGGGCTTTTATAGGGGCTTATAAAAGGAATGACAGCTGGGATGTGGGACACTGAATTCACCATGATCAAATCGAATTATATTGTATCACACTTTATACTGCAGTGTGTTTCATATTATTCTCTATTTGCATGTAATATTCAAATATGAAATATGTTGCCTACTCGTTCATTCCATGTTGAGATCACATGGAAAATGCATGATTAATACCAATATCAACAAGCTCTTCTTGAAGGAACACAGACTATAATGACATCACACCAGAGGCCTGCCATTATGTGGCTACATCCATATGAGTTCTGTATAATCTACAGCCTGACCAGGCCAGTACTTGACATAGATGTCAGATTGGTTCGCCCCTGAAAAAATGCAGATGCTCTTTTAAAAAAAACAATTAAAATGCAATTCTGCTCCGTTTCTTATAGTTGGCATGAAATAGACGTTATAACTGACTTTATTTCTGTATCGTGACAGTGATACAATTTATCAAGCTTGAAACAGCACAGAGCAATACTTGATATTAATTGGTTGTTGATTTGATTGTAAAACATGAGTGTTGTATACTCTATTGGAAGTAGATCTGAATGTGATTGGCTGAACTGCAATGCGTTCTTGAATTTATCAACAGAGAGAAGAAAATTTTTTTTTAAATTAAATTTGTGAGCAAAAAAAAAAAAAATTTATACAGAGTTCTGGCATGAAACTCTAGATGGCGCATAGGTCTAACTCAAGCTGACCTAATGACATCATTATCACATGGCACAGCTGATTGGTTCTCTCCTGTATCGGTAGCCAATAAGCTCGCTGCTCAACATTCAAATATATGACAAGTGCTTGCCGTAGCAGTTGCAGCTTGTTTCAGAAACCCTCCACCTTCCCCAGCTCCACCTGTGTAGATCTGCTACGAGGTGATTCATGTATGCTATATGGGGGTTATTTCATGTATGTTATATGTGCAGCAGCAGTATTTCTTACATGCTCACAGCAGCATGTTGTGGATCTATTGGCAGTAGCAAGTCTCGGTACTTGCTCTGCCGCAGCAGCAGCAGCAGCGTAGCAGATCTATTCCGCCAAGACCAAATACATTAACATTGTCATGTACATTACCATGCCAATCCCTCCGAGAGTTGTCATGACAGAAATAAATATATACTTATTTGGCACACATGAATCATTCAAAATTATACCACACTTTAAAAAAATATATTTTTTCAAATTTGTAAATAAAATTTAATTTAGGTTAAGTTGGTTGGGCTGTGTAGGTCACAATCCTGTCAACTGCTTGTTCCATTCTTGCTTCCGCTGAGTTTTTGGATTTTTCTTCAGAGATTCTCTTTTTGTTTTGTTTTGACGAAGGCCAATGTTATAATCTGAGTCAGCAGAATAGTTCACGGTAATGGTATGTATGGATCAGCATGCAGTGACTTACCAGTCCAAACATAATGAGTCCAAGTGGAGAATTAAAATGTCCAAACAAGCAGTGCTTGCTGGAGCGATGAAACAAACAAAGCCATGACAAATGTCAGAACCTCAAGTGGCAAGCGTGGAAACACAGCAGATACAACTGTACCACAAAATGTTTCTGTTAAGGACCCGGCTGGGTTATATATACAGTGTATATATGTAATTCATTACAATTATATACAAAGTAACAACTTAAAATAAACTAGATTTGTAATAAGATTTTCTTTCCATTGGAGCAATTCAAGCTTGAACTGCGACTTTCATATGCAGCTACAAAAGGCAATGTTCCTCATCAAACCACACTTCCACAGGATGTATAATGGAACAGAATGGACAGGTCTGCTACACATTTTACAAACTTTTTCACTGACATCTTGATATCTTAAAAACATGGCACTCATTGCATAGCCAGCCGCAATGCCGAGAGACATCTTTAATTATATTTTGTTGTGTATAGATCTTAAACTTGTTTTGATAAGCAAAAAATTTGATGCCATTACTCACAAACAAGAACAAAGACGAGACATAACAAATCAGTCAGTTCCCCATTATGAATAAAAACCAAGCTGAGTCAATCTGATGATGCAGACTGACCACCAAGCAATTCATTTACAAAGAGCCTTGCCATTATTTGAAGACTTTGTGGAAAACAACCGTTAAAATGATGTATTTGTGTCATACATGTGTGTCTGCTTTTCTGTAAAAGTCTGAATAAAGTCAGATCAAATTCCATTAACAATTCATTCAAAACAACCCTGGATGAACAGTGAAGGAATCTGGTAACCATAAGGCCCCAAGAAAAGCATTACGGTTAATTAAATAGAAGTGTCAAGTGTTTTGGATCAGTCTTTTGTACGAGTCCAAATCATGATGATACTGATGCATTCTGACAGTTACAGCCATAAATCATAAATATGTTAATATAAAAGTCTCCTCTATTGCTCTTATCCACCACTTGGATAAGACACAGATCAAATGTAATATTATTTCAATTAGATCTCCATGCAAGAATATCCCCTCTAATTTCATTCTCATTTCCGTGCAATGACGTCCCCTCTAATCAGACCGTTAGACTGTAATCATGAGAGCTACAGTTCACTCCTTCCCCAGAGGCTCTGCAAATGGACGTTTAGATCTGAGTAAGCATATTTGTGCAATGACCATCACCAGAGAGGCCTGCTCTAAATTCAGCTGCTGTTACACTCAACAGCTGGTTAATCAAGAAATATTACAGCATTGCCGGTGGTAAAATGGGGACTCTAGGCTGACCTAGATATGGTCTTTATGGCTCTTATATCTACTGACCTTAACTGTCCCCACAATTGCAGGGTTTTGTGCCTGATATCCACATGCTTCAACTGACACCTTAGTTTATCAAAAATTACATGTTTGTAATCATTACTCACCCTCATGTTGTTCCAACCCTGCATGACTTTCTTTATTCTGTGGAATAAACAACATTAAATCCCACTGACTTTCACTGCATGGATAAAAGCAGTTAAACATTTTTCTGAATAAAATCATGAGTGTGAAGTAAATGATGATCATTTTAATTTCTGGGCGAAAAAACTGTTCCTCTAATAATAGTTGGAATTGTTATGAAATGGTAGTCTCGATGTTTTTGCCAGTTTTTGAATATAAATGCGTTAGACCTAGATGGCTTCATTCATAGACCAGTGTGTGGATTCTCTTTTGATCAATAACCTTCTCCAAGTCTGCAAAAGCAGTTAGATTAGATTATGTGTTTACCTTGATCGGCTAAAGGGCACAGGGACATGGAAAGTATGAGCAGAGAAATGCAATTAGTGCATAACTTAGAAACAGATGCACTTTGAGTTATTTCTGTTACAATATCCAGCTGCCTGCTTTCTTTGTTTACTTGAAACAAATCTCGAAGTAGTATGTTCCCAACCATGCTTGAAATGAAGTAAGCGTTTTAACTATCTACTGATGATTTGCTTTTCATCTGCTTTATCGCATTTCAATAATGTTATTAGCTTTTTTTTTTTTTTTAATCAAAGCCCTTACAATACAATGCACATCTGACAACATCAGCATGGGAATAAACACTAGTCATAAAGTTGCTGTAAGTTGAAATTCAGTGACTCCTTTTGCAGGTTTGCTGACATGTCTTTGGAGAGAGGGTGGAGTTTGGTAATGGAAGTTAGCAAAATGGTGGAAACTAGGAAAATGCCTGAAATCGCTTACAGCTCCTTTAATTACCAAGAAGCTGCTCACGGTGAGTGCACTTAAAGGAATAGTAAACTACCCCTTTAAAACCTAAAATTATATTTAGTTTTGAACTTAGTTAATACCTTGCCAGGAATGCGGTCATTATACAGACACACACACACAAAAAAAGGGGGGGGGGGGGTTAACCTGTTCAAAGTCATTGCTTTGTTATATGTAATGTACTTTAATGTACGTTTTTTTCTTCTTCTTGTGATTAAATATAACGGACAATAAAGAGTTGCACGACTCGGTGCTGATAATGCTGGATCTCAACAAAGCAAAGCTTCTCCAGGAGACTGACTGTGAGCCAAATCTGGGATAAACCATCACTGTTTTTCTATTGACCGAGACACAAACGCTCAGACGGAGAGCTTCTCTTCCTAAGTACTAACAGGTGTGTATCAGTGAAAGACCTGCATATGATAATTCTACACAGAAAAAGTTCAAATCAGAGCCAAATGCAAACCAAGTCAAGTATCTGAAGGCAGCTTGATCACATTCACAGACACACTCCTCCTTTCAAAAGGACATTGCTTGGTGTAGCCCACTAACAGCTTTCTGATGTGTGCACAATGTGCAACACATCTACTGTAACTGTAAACACTTTGGTCTTTAAAATTAATTAATAAAATGATCAAACATTTTTACTACAATAAATTGAATATTAATTCATCAGAATAAGTCAAAATTAAGATGCATGGTTTTATTTGTTGGATACAGCTGAGAAGGTCAAGACCTTTAAGGTGGGACAGGGCATGCTAGATGATACAGTAGGTAATCCATCATATCCAATAGTTCTCACAACAAAAACCACAGTGAATTTCTGCCTTTATTGCTTTATATGAACTAGTTTCTGCCTTTATATCATGATTAGTTTGGCATTATGGACAAGAAGCTGTCTAACTCCGCCTTAACATGCTGATTTCTGACTTCCCAATTCTGAAGGTGTAATTACAAATTTGTTGTGTTTAATTGCTTTGTTGTCAGAAATAATAGGAATCATGGAGGACACCAGGTTTATTTTTAATCACTGCTTGTGGAAATCTCATTGAAGCCAAAATGCTTTTAATATATTTACATTTACATTTAGTAATTTAGCAGACACTTTTATCCAAAGTGACTTACAAATGAGGACAATAGAAGCAATCAAAATCAACAAAAGAGCAATAAAATGTACAGTAAGTGCTATGACAAGTGTCATATACATCATAAGATATTTAGTAAATATCCAACAGATTTCAACAGATCCAATGTAGTGTCCCATTTGTTGCCAACCATATAAACATCACTCATGCTACTGTGACTGCGCTAGAAGTCTCGATAAAATAAATGCCGTTTTTTTAAATCTGTGTAAATGAAATGAAATATTCTGTATATGACTGTAATAGCAAGAGAAAGATGTTGTGAGAAAAGCGAATAAGCAGTCTTACGGTATTTTTACACAACAACGACGTACTAATAACAGAAACGTTTTTCTTTTGCATTTTTAAAAAGTTTTGCGTACAGATGACAATGCCGTCAAAACGATACTCGCTCACACGGATCTGCAAAAACAACTAAAAATGCTGTATGATGCATGCCAGGCCAGTAGTTGGCGCTGTGACTTTGTAAAGAAAGGCTATGCTTTTGCGCATATATGCATTCATCTACAGAGCCGGAGCTCGGTAAATACACATAATAGACATGATGTGACCCCTTTTACAAATTTGCATATTTGTAGTTTACATGGAAACATTAACGGTATCGTTTTTTAACAACTTGCCCTTTGAACCCCCATTTTCAGGCCCCCAAAACAAATTGTGTAAATGAACAGCAAACAAAGCATAAGTTGTCAATTTTTAGTTCAAAGCTAAGCCCCTTAAACTTAGCATTCACTACAGTAAACTGCCATGTTTAGTTTATGGCCTACCCAACTCTGAAACTCGAGAATCAAAAAAACCTCAGAGGTTCCTAGTTGTAAATACAACTTGAGAGGCTGTTCATGTCTGATAGCATGTGAGGGCAGCATGAGGTGTAGCTGGTAGATGGGTGGAGTTTCCTCTATGATGATATCTCATTGCGGGTGTGGTGGGGGTCTGATGACAGGACTCTTTGATGAGATCAGAACCTAAAGCCATTTAATTGCACTGATCACTGTGGTTACCAGTCATTACAAGGTGTCGTCCCATAGTTTTGTTTCTAAATTGAGTTTTTTTGGGGCGTTTTGACCCGTTTACTCCAGGAGGTGAGGGGTTAAGTGAGAGCCATGTAGGTGAACGATGGAGTAATGGTAGGTTTGTTGGGTTTATAGAAGTAGACTCCACCACACTCAGCAACTTTAAGGTTCCTTGCGCCAAGCTGCAAATTCACATCAGGTTTATTTCCAACACAGCAGCACTGACACTGTAATTTCTTTTGCTAATAAATAAAGTAACTCTGATGCAATAAACGAACAAAATCAGTCTTCTACAGGACAAAAAGAGATTAGAGAACATCATTCAGCGCCACTGACTCAGCCAAAAAGTGTCATCAAGTAAGAGCTGCGTTGACAGTACCAAGAATTAAAACAGCAGCTGCAACTTTTCACATTGTGGCTTCAGAGAACATCTTTCAAATGGCGATGTATCAAAAAATGTGTTGGATTTGAGCAACTCGAACACAAACAGATGAGTTTACACAAAGATGAATACACCATAATCGTGTTGTTAAATGGAAATGTGTTTTTCTGCTTTCCTGTCACAATTAGAAATATATTATGCTGAGCTGCCAAAGTGCGGTGGGTACATATACCATACATTAAAACCATTTCCTATCAGGTTGGGGACAGATCCTTCATACAGGCATTTTGAAGACCGTAAGGGAGCTATTAAGCAAAATTAGTCTGTCCCAGCGGTGTGTCTGACAGGACTAAACGTCTTTAAAATGTTTAAACTGTAGTCCGATTTTACAAGGAGCAGAGCGAAGAAAGAAAGTTATGTTTGAACATTTCTCTACGGGTGAAGTCTAACCACAGGGGTCAGAGAGTGAAATAACCTCTTAAAAATGCAACAGTCTCATGACACCTTAATGGATGAGATCATTCATCTGCTTTTGCAGGAAAGGAGTGATGCTAATTTGCCCTGTTAACTACTAATGTACATTTAATATACATTTTACATGAATACGTAAGGAAAATAAACTATAAAGGGACCAAATGAGGGAAATACTAGCATATGAAACTGTGGCAAGCACTTAATCGTGGGTATATAGGAAAATGAGAATATATTAAGACTCTTACAGTAAATGGTCTAATAATTTCCTCTAAGCTTGTAGTTTAAAAGGTTCCTGAGGCTGGTGTGAATGAGCGTATGGCTTGGTGCCATCAAACTGAGAGTCCAACCTATCTCAATAAGACTTCAACGAGTTTGGTCAGAGTACACTGAAAAGTTATAACAGGCTGCAGGTCTATTAGTCAAATAGTTTTGCCCACATGAAAAGTTCAGTTTATTTTCATGGATATAGGATTTGCAGATTTTCTCAAGTTTTTATAACAGCTTGGTTGCAGGTAATATTGCTCTTGTACCATCTAAAATACACCATACATGTTCAGTAGGCAATAAAATGAAAGTACCGATAAACTAAAAAAAAAGTGTGATTAAAAACCAGTATAAAATCCTATGCTTGGTTTGTGTCCATTTTTAAGTTCATAGAACTTCATTTTAGTTTTTGCTGTTGCAAACAATATAAATTACATTTCCCCCCCCCCCCAAACAAGTGTAAAAAAAAGGAAACACTAAAAATTGAGAATACAGCAAAATTATTCACACAGGAAACAACGACAAACAAAAAAAATCCTCAAGATGGTAACAGCTGTCAAGTCCATATGAAATCTGCAAGTTGCTTTCCTTAGTATAAAACTGCATTTGCAATTTAAAAAGAACAGTCATTTCAAGAAATGATATCACATAAATGATATTCAGTATGATATATTACTGCTTAAGACAAAAGCAGTTAAGAAAAACTATGGAAGTCCAGAAACAGGAAGAATTGTTTTGAACATACACACAGTAGCTACATTTCTAAGCATTTCACACCATAGTCAATTCTCTTCCCAACATATATTAAGTAGCATTACGAAGCAATGTAAACTGTGTTTGCTAAATTCACCCCCATAACTATGAAAGGCAACTTTAGAAAACACCTGGCTAGTAAATTGTTTATGCACTTAACCAATTAGTAAACACATATAGAACAAGTACAACAGCCAAAGTATGTGAACAGGCATCTCATAATACAAGCATTAATGTTCATTTATTGGTTACCTACAGGTTTGTGAGGTCATGATTAGGTAAGTGCTACTGTGCCTCTACGTCACCTGCTATTCTTAGTCTGACATCCTGGCAGGAATGTGTTCAAAAGCTCTTTGGTTCTTGGGGCCGTTCACACAAACTGCGCTCCTGTGGTCAACTTAAGATGCAGCACAATAGTATCTAACTGCACACTGATGAACACTGATGAATGGAAAGCAAGTTTTTTTTTTAACTTGCCTTAATGTAGTGCTGATGCAAAAAAAGAAAAGAAAAAAAGCTAGACAGCGCAATGGCCAAACACATCTGTCTATTGCATGTATACTAAGAAAAAGAATTAAAAAGCAGCACAGTAGAACACAAAAACACGTTCTGTTTCACACTGTAGACAACTCCTGTGCATTTATTTTGGGACTCATATGTATGAAAGCTTTGGTAAAAAAAAAAAATCATGACAAAGTGTCTAAATTATTACTTGAGCAAGTCATAATTCTGAAATAAAAGGTTGAAATTATGACAAAGAAACTGTTACGAGATAAAATTATGAGATAAAAGTAGAAATACAAATACGAATGACAAAGTTTTAATGACAAAAAGTCCAAAATCTCATATCATGAGATAAAATGTCATGACAAGTTGAAACAGAGTCATTACTTTTTAATCTCAATTTCCAATTATAATCACTTACTTTTCACAACTTTAATCACAACTTTTTTTAATTTTAGTTATAATTTCGACTATGGGGGGGGGGGGGGTCAAAAAAATATGTCAATTAAGTCAAATTATTTCAGAATTCTGACATGACTTTTGTTATAATTTATGTCATCAATGTCAAAACTGAGATATAAAGTCATAATGAGACTAGTTGAAATTGACAAAATTTAACGACTTCTCATAATTCTAACTTTTTAAACTCATAATTTCACCCTTTTCCCCTCATAATTATGACTTAATGTAATAATTAATTTGCCAAAGCATTTTTTTCTTCTGATGGGTTTACATACAACATCAAAAAGTTACAGTATACAAATAAAAAACAGGAGTGAAATATAGATTTATCAAAAACAAACACACACACACACACACACACACACACACACACAGAGTCTGGTCAGCTATCCTTGTGGGGACTCTCCATAGGCGTAATGGTTTTTCTACTGTACAGACCCTATATTCTATTGCCCTACACCAACCCTACACCTCACAGGAAACTTTCTGCATTTTTAGAATTTCAAAAAACTTAATTCTGTATGATTTATAAGCTTTTGTACCCGTGGGGACCACAATTTAGGTCCCCACCGTGACACGAGTCCCCATGAGTCTGTGTGTAGTCAGGTTTAAGTCCCCACCAGGATATATAAACCAGTACACACACACGCATGCGCGCGCACACGCACACACACACACACACACACACACAGCAGCACTTTTTGTTTAGTAAATATGACTGAATCTAAGTCATCGCTATAATTTGAAATTTGGGTTCTGTAGATTGATATTTTGGATTTAAATATGGCCTACAACCACATGTAAATGACATTTCAGTCTATACATTTTGTAGTCTTAATTATAATTTTTTTTTTATCATTTTAAAATACATTGGTGTCATTTACATTGACTATGCATTTTTTTTTTTATAGACTGGCTAGGTTGTTAAGCCGGAACAATGCTGCCAGTATAAAAGCATAATGTTGCAGTTACGCTTTTGCTTTGTTTACATGCCTGCCCGAGAGTGCAGTGTGAAACAGGCCCAATGTTACGAAATTTATATAGCAATACCATGTGGGAGGAAATGATCAACACAGCAAGTTCAGATAACCAGAAAACTAAATTTGTCAGGCTTAAAGCTCCAATTCAGCAAGCTTTTTAATATATAAAGCCATAACACAACCATGAGCATACATGTTTAGGCATAAGCGAAGACCCAGCAAAAAGAACCTTGATATTGCTTTAAAAGCATTAATTTTGCATATTATAAGAGATTCAGAGGGTGTTGAATCAAGTTGCTCATCACTTAATAGATGATGCTGAAGTGATGAATGGTTTCCTCTGTAAATATTTGACCATGATTATGTTGACAATAATGATGATCAGAAGATGTCTGTTTCGGTTTCTCAAGTGTGCAGGACATGCCTCTATAATGCAACTATGACCTTTTGATGTCCCCTGAATGGTTAGGTTAAATCTTCAGCTCTAAATCATTATCTTCTACCAGTCCTGTCTTTTTAGTCATTAAAAATAATATTTTTTCAGAAGTTCTTGAAAATTTCCAGATCCTTAGCTGGTACTGGTGTGTCCTTCTTCCACTCATCCTCTGGATAGGTGTCAAAGTTAGACGTGTCACCCTCGTGAGATACCTTGGGAACTATGGGTGGCTGTCACAGCAATGAGAAAAACTCATTAAAGAAGCTTTAGATGAAGTGAAATACACATTATCATTCAAAAGTGTGCAGTCAGTAAAGAAATGAATCATTCAATTGATCAAAAGTAATCGTATTCATCAAAAAATCTTGAAAAAACGTATCACAGTTTCTAAATGCATTACTTTTCCTTATTGTTTTTCCTCCTCAACATTTATAATGATTTCTGAAAAATCATGTGAAACTAAAGACTGGAGTAATGGCTGCTGAAAATTCAACTTTGCCGTGACAGGAATAAACTAAGTAATTACATTTAATTAATATCTTATGTTACATTACTATTTTAATATTAATACAACAAACAGTTGTCATAATATTAAATCACAATACTAGTGTTGAATAATAGAAAAAAGATCTGCACACTGTTATTCTCCTTTTATTCAAAAAAGTTAAAAATAACAACGTTTCGGTCAAAGACCTTCGTCAGGCAATGCTAGTGTTGGCCACGCTTTATTGCAAGGTCTAATTCTTGCTATTAACAAACCATTAACTGTGACTTTTACCTCAATAAACTCCTAATTTGCTGCTTATTAATAGTTAATAAGGTAGGTGTTAAATTTAGGTATAAGGATTGGATTAGGGATGTAGAATATGGTCACTCAGAATATGTGCTTTATAAGTACTAATAAACAGCCAATATGTTAATAATAGACATGCTAAAAAAGCAACTAGTTAATAGTGAGAATAGGTCATTGTACTAAAATGTTACCCTTGGGGTTTTTACTGTGTTTTCAATTGACTGACCCCAAACTGAATGGGCATGTATACTTTCCACTATCCGCTACCAAGTATGTCCAGTAAACCATGGGAAATATTCTGGCTATATAATTCTACCAGTAAATAAAGTAAAAGTTGATCACTTTTTAATAAGGTGTTGTCACAGTTATGTGGCCAGTAATGACTTACAAAAATCTTACGAAAATGAATAGTGGCACAAAATGAATATTTAATAACAGGACATATTCTAAAGCTCTATGTGAGTACGTTTACATGGACAACAATACTCCGATTTTAATATGATTAAGACAATACTCTGATTTAGAATCTACCATGTAAACAGATTTTTGATGACCTTAATCCGGCTAAAGTCATAATTACAGTAAACAGAAATCTAATTAAAGGGGTCATATGATGCTGCTAAAAAGAACATTATTTTGTGTATTTGGTGTAATGAAATGTATAATGTATGTGAAATAATGTACATTATTATTTCTCTTCTATGCCCCGCCTTTCTGAAACGCGTCGATTTTTACAAAGATCATCGCTCTGAAAAAGCGAGGTGTACTGTGAT